ACAACATTAAAGAAGAAGGAAAGAGTGCGGCATGCTAGGGTTTTGGAGAAAACTATTTATGTTGTATCTCTTCTCCTATTTATAGGAGGAGAGTTTTCTTGTCCTCCCAAGACAATGAGTTATTTTTACACGTGGACTTTTTTATTTTTATCTTTAAAACATTCATCCTTATCAAATAAGGTTGATGTTTATCCTCTCATCAAAATATCTTAAGGTTTTTTTTATTAAAATCTAATGAGCTAAAATCATTTTAGCCCAATTAATTTATTTGGATTATCCAAATAAATAATATTAGATTATTTTAGGTGGGTCCACATTAGGAAGCAATTTTCTAAAATACTTTTTAGCCTAAATTAGGAAACTCATTTTCGTTTTAGGTTATTTATTTTCAAATTTGAAACTAACTTCCAAATTAGGAAACTAACTTCCAAATTAGGAAACTAATTTTTAAAATAGAAAACTTTTCATTTTAGAAACCTTCATAATTAAGGAAACTTTCCATTTTAAGAAACTTCTTATTTAAAGAAACTTTCCACTTTGGAAACCCTTTCTAAAATAGAAAACTTCATAATTAGAAACTTTTTTTTAATATTTTTGCTTCTCATTCATTATTTAAAAACTTAAACTTATGCGTGTGACTCAATAGGCTCCTAGATATGTTGACAATGTATCAAGAACAAAAGACTCCTCTTTTATCTCTTGATACATAAATCAAGATTGGTCTCTAGCAAGGTATCATGATTATCCAATTTTCTATGAGGATTAATTAATTCATTATTATCTTTCACGAGCATGGTACCATATAATTCGAGTCCTCATATCAAGTTATCACGAGTGTGATCTCGAACTTGATTATGAATCTTATTCGATTATGATCACACAAGTTTTCTTCGATTCCCAAATGTCTTAGCTCTTAGAATAAACTAACTATGCTCTATTGGTGTACTGCTATTATGATAACAGATTTCTCGAGCGGACATTTATTGAATGCAATGTGACAACTCCTTTAGCATACAAGAAATGAAATATCCTATCTTAGTCATACACTTATCTCCATTAGATTTCTAGTACACCCAATGAATTGTCCACGTGTAATCCTTTAATAGGTTCATCAAAACGAGTGTCAAAGTGCATAAGTCCTATAATGAGACAACCGTGATGACTTCAAGTCTTAGGACTATTTGTACCCATCTTGTATAAGATTCTCATAGACTAAAACTAAATGAGTTTTCATGACGAGTCAAGTCTAGTGATATGTTCTCTAACATGAATCACCTAAGTGCTTGCTTGGACATCACCATGCCAATAGATGTGAGATCTCCTACTGCTACCATATAGCATAAGTATAGCACTCATAAGTCTATCCGTATATAGTCAATGTCCATTCTTGATAATGCTATGACTTAGGACGTTTAATGATATCATTTATATGTATTAGTATTTGTCTCACATCTTTTAATTAATCACTAATGCAAATGCATATCATATGGACTTCTATCTAATTTTATTCAATCAATGAATGTAAATGACAAGAATTAATAGAAGTACTTCTTTATCACAAATCATACAATGATATAATAGCTCAAACTCATCCAAACATGGTTGGATCTTGGGCACCTATACTAAAAAATTGGATGCTATTTGGTTTTTACCTCTCATGTTGACTCCAAATCATGTTTTCATATTTTTCTCAATTGGACTCTAAATCATCTTTTCAAATTATTTTCTTTTTATTTTTTGTTTATATACTAAAAATTATAATTGAGAAATTAAAATAAAATTTAAAAATTATGTGAAACCAAACCCAATAATAAAAAAAATATAAATATTTATGGAAAATCACCTCTATATAAATAAAAAATTTATAAAATAATCTAAAAATAATTAAGGAACAAATTTAGGGTTATGACAAATCTCGTTAGTCTCTTTTGCTTTTGCTCTCGCTCTCGTCGGTCTCTTTTTCTCTCTTTTGCTTGTGCTCTTCTCGTCGGTCCAAAAATGTAGCAAAATAAAGAGTTTATGATTTTGATAATTTCGCTAGAGTCTCTTTTCTTTTGCTCTTCGTTTCGTTGGTTAAATTCGAGATCATTGGAAAAATTCCTACTTTTTTGTCTTAAAAATATGAGATGGAATTATTTTTGAAAAAAAAAGAGAAAAGATTATGAAGTGGGATTAACAAAGTAAGAATAATACCACCCTAAAAATAAAAGTGTACTAACTTCCAAACAATAGTCAAAAAGAAGATTAATGCGAGACACTATATAGATAAAAAAAATAATAATTATAAGTATATAGCTAACTATATAGATTGAACAAACAGTCTTTTGTTACAATTGACTAATATTTTTTTTTTTAGTTTTATAAATTGATAAAAAAAATAATTAAAAGTATATATCTAACTATATAGATTGAACAAATAATCTTTTGTTACAATTGACTAATATATATATATATATATATATATATATATATATATATATATATATATATATATATATATATATATATATATTAGTTTTATAAATCATTTACATCATAAATCATCCCAATAATTAGGAATGGTTAATTTCATTGCCCTTGCAAGCAACCAACAATTCTTGAACCGAGATCTTGCTTGTCTCTTTAAAACTTTGGACCTTCATCAAACAAAAATGAGTACAACAAAATCCCAAATCAAGTCCAGACCCAACCTTGCTTATCTTTAACAAATAACAAACATATCTTGTTTGTCAATGGATAATTCGAGCATCCATTATAAGTTAAAACTCGGTCTTCTTATCGATATAGTCTATTATCTCAATGACATGCTTTTCGACGTTAGATCCTTCATCCATTCTAGCTTTAAAGAGCTTCTTGGCTATTTCATAGTACTCATGTCCGACATTCTTCTTAAATAAGTTTTTAAGCTTTGCTATGATATCAAAGATGCTTGTACTTTTATATTGGCACCTATGCTCCAATGTCATAACAGCCAATATGATGTTCTAAGATGTGATCACATCATCGAATATTTAATTTTTTAAACAATTCACATTAATGATTAAATTAAAAATGGAATAAATAAACAAATTGAAAAAATAGTGGTAAATGAATTCCAATGATTATAAAATCTAAAACACAAGTTAAATACAAGCATATACATAGACCCTAAAAAATTCAGATTTAAATAATTAAATTAGATCTTTAAAAATAAATAAAAAAACCAAAACTCACCTTAGAATTAAAACTCTATCAATTTCACCCCAATTCCTACACATTGGGACTCCATTAATTACCAAACTAAAGAGACTGTACAACTGTGAGGACATAAATTCAAACAATCTTAGCCTTCCCTCCCGCTAAAACTAAAAAGCTGCAGGTTTTGTTTTAATGGCCGAAACATGAGGAGAGAAAAAAAAAAATTGACACGCCCGCCCAACTCCCCACCCACAAACACAATTTTTCATTTGCGTGGTTTTTATCGCCTAAAATCTCATCCTCCTCCCTCATATACCCATGAAGTTTAAGCTAAAATTATTTTCTCATCATTGTTTTCAACATGGAAAGAGTTTTTTAGAGAGAGAGAAATGGAAGGATGGATGTTAAAGGCTAACTCCCACTTCTCTTCTCAGGATGAATAAGAGAAAAATGGCAGAGGCTAAGAGAGCTAAGACCATGTTTGTGTTTTTTTTCTTCTGTTTCTCCAAAACCCTACTGTTAAAATTTTTTTTTTAACCCTAGGCCTTCTCCTCCTTTTAAAACCACTCTCCCCTTCTTCTTCTCACCCTTGGATCCTTTCCTTCTCATCCTAACGCTCCTTTCTCTCCACCCAAACCCACTCCTCCTTTTGTTTTTTTCTTTGCATGGTTGCTGTCAACTGCTTCCATGGTCACAGTTGACAGCAGCGGTAAGGATTCAGCGTGAAGGGGTGGGGGATGAGTCAAGAGAAGGGACAAAATGCCAGCCCCTTTTTTTGTTTCTTTACTGTGTTTTTCCAGTTTCTCTCTTGTTGCAGGTTGCCTTTTTAACAGAGTAGAAGACGACCTAGCCGACGGGATATTTGAAGGAAGAAATATGGCGACGAACGAGGCGTCATTCAGGACGAATGTTTAAGTTCATCCCTGTCGTCCGTTCTTCCTTCAAATTTTGTCCCTACATGTTTTAATTATTCTTCCATTAGGCCTCTCATTGAAATTATTTAGTCTTTTTTTCTTTAATTTCTTGCTAGTTCATTGTCAATTAAGACCCCTTAATTTTTATTCTTTTTCAATTCTATTCCTAATTGGGTGTTAGTTGATTCTTACCTTTCATATTTTTTTCAATTGGACTCCAAATCATCTTTTCCAATTATTTTCTTTTTGTTTTTGGTTTTAATGCTAAAAATTGTAAATGACAAATTAAAATAAAATTTAAAAATTAAATGAAACCAAACCCAATAATAATAATAATAATAAAATATTTATGGAAAATCAACTCTATGTAAATTAAAAATATATATAAAATAATCTAAAAATAATTAGGGGACAGATTTGGGGTTGTGACAAGTCTCGTCCATCTCTTTGGCCTTTGCTCTCGTCAATCTCTTTTTCTCTCTTTTGCTTGTGCTCTTCTTGTCAGTCAAAAAATGTAGCAAACAAAGACTTTATGATTTTGATAATTTCGCTAGAGTCTTCTTTTCTTTTGCTCTTAGTTTTGCTAGTTAAATTCGAGATCATTGGAAAGATTCCTACTTTTTGTCTTAAAAATATGAGATGGAATTATTTTTGAAAAAGAAAAAGAGAGAAGATTGTGAAGTGGGATTAACAAAGTAAGAATAATACCACCCTAAAAATAAAAGTGTACTAACTTCCAAACAATAGTCGAAAACAAGATTAATGCGAGACACTATATAGATAAATAATAATAATAAGTATATATATCTAACTATATAGATTGAACAAACAATCTTTTGTTACAATTGACAAATTTTTTTATTTTTTTTTAGTTTCATAAATCGTCACAATAATTGGGAATGGTTAATTTCATTGCCCTTGCAACAACCAACAATTCTTGAACTGAGACCTTGCTGTCTCTCTAAAACTCTGGACCTTCATCAAACAAAAATGAGTACAAAACAATCCCAAACCAGGTCCAGCCCCAGCCTTGCTTGTCTTCAACAAATAACAAACAGGCCTACAATCCACTCCTCTCCCTTGCGCCACGATTCCCCATGCCCTTGTGACATCTTCTTCCTCTCTCTCGTCACCATCTTTATCATGATCCTCGAGTTTCTCCACAAAAATCACCCCTTCAGGCAATTGGGTCTCTCTCTTTTCCCACTTTTCTATCAAACCTGGCCATTTGTCCACCACCGCCTTCTCCGTCTTCAACATCGTCGTTTTACCGCTCTCCTCCGCATACACATGAACCAAAAGAGGCGCTTCCCTTAAGTTCTTGACAATCTCCACCACAGAATCTCTCATCCACTGATCAACCCTCTCATATAAAACTGCAGATTTATTGGTTCCGTCAGAATTAGAATCAGCCGTCTTAACAATTCCTGGCGTTGTACTGATCTTCATTGACATTGAGACCCTCCCTTTTCTGAATCTTGAAACTTTAAATAAGTCGCTAGAGATCTTAACATTAGATGGCAACAAATGGGCGTTCTTGATGGGATTATTTTCCAAAAATCGGCAAAAACCATTTCCTTCGAAACGAATGCCCACTGATGCCATCTTTATATGAAGATGGCAATAAACAGAGAAGAGAAGAGAAGATTAAACTATTGCACAATACCTCAGACCCAATAACGCGTTGTTTTTGCTTGCCGGTTGTTGTTGTTTTTTATGTGATGGTGGGATTTATACAAGGAGGGAGATGAGTTCGAATTATAATGAGTTGGGTATGGGGAGACGCAGTGTTGTATTGAATCTGGGACAATTTAAGGCATTTACTCCGTATGAGAGTAGGAGTCTAAAAGAAGGAAAAGACCAGGAAAAAGAGATTTTTGGACGGTCAAGATTGGCATGAAGTGCAAGCTACAATAATCTGGTTATTCTATTGCTAAATGTCACTGGTTGTTACTTGCTATATGATAGGGACATGTCCATCTATGCTGATGTCAGATCCACTGGTTTCCAGCTCATAATCTAATCCTCTATGTACAAACCACAGAAATCTATTTGCAATCCTCTTACTTGGCCAGCATTTGTGCAATTAGGTTGGAAACTAACTAGGAATATTATCCTACTGATTTTTATTTTTTTCCAATCTGATTGGTAGGTAAATTTGATTTTCAAAAGGTTCGAATATTTGAAGAAGTTATAAGGAAAAAAATTATGAAAGCATTAATTTCTTATTTAAATGGATTAGTTAAAACCATGATAATAGAAAGATTTAATTTTATTGTACAAAGGGGATTCGAAAATGTTATTACGTGATGTAAGAAAAAAAAATCTGCGTCTTTTCCTAAAGATACAAAATTTTAATTGAAGTCAAGGGTCTTGATTGACTGATTGTAGTTGGTGATTCTCCTAACGATTGTAGGGAATAAAACATCGTCTAAGACCAGCCACGCGAGTTACGCGGGGACCAGGCATTGCATGTTCGGGAGTAGTTTGATCACGTGGTTCGCGCAGAATCTAACAAACAAGTTTAGAATGTGATTTAATCGAAGCCGTTGATTTTTGACAAGAGAAGAGTCCAGCGTGGAGAACGTGGCAGTTGGGCATGGGATGCACGCGGCCACGTGGTTGTCATGGTGAGATTGCATGCAGCATTAATGCTAACACACGCTCATTGGCTTCCTTACCCACTTTTTATGACACGAGGAATGCCAAGTCACCGAAGCTTATGTGGCAACTTAAACGGAAGGACCACTTATCTTTCCTTTGTGAATGAAGTAACTGTTTTTAGATTACGATTTTGGTTTACTAAATATACGCAATCAAAATCAATAATTATCTAACAACTATCATAGTTGAGAACTATACATTATCATTTTTATTTAAAAGTTAGCTAGATTATACGCTGAGCGTAAATATGAACATAAAAATATGATAAATAAATTGTTTTCTAATTTTTTATTTTGATTGTTTATATTCGTAAAAACTATTATAGTTTTTACAAATCATTTTATTTTATATTTTTATTATATATTAGGTAATTGTTTAAGATGTAGACGCAAATAAATCATCAGATCTTTTGATTTTTGAGTATTTTTTAATATCAATAGCCTTTTTCAAAAGGTATAAAACATTTCTTCTAAAATAGTTAAAGATAATATAAGATAATAAACAAAAGTCTCCTATTAAAAAAAAAAGAATCAATTATAATTTGATGAATTTTAAAATAATTTTATTGTTTTTGGATTTCATTATTCGTGGGTTGAATAAAAATTAAGAATATAGCATCAATAGAATTTTTATAAATCATTTTTCTTAAAGGAGTCTAGTTTTTTTAATATTAGTAACGATTATAAAGAATAAAAATATGATATTTCATAATCTAAAGTTGTTTTTAAAATTTTATTTTGATTACTTATGTCGGTACCCGACATTTAGAAGACTTTAAAAAATATTACTAAAAATTATTATATTTTGTTTTTTTACGAGAGATGTGAGTTAAACCATATTTTGGAATTACTATCTAATATTTAAAAAAAATTAAAAAAAAACCTTAAAATGGCATTGGTCGACAAATTTTAGAGTAAGGAGCTGGCTATACATTTGAAAAAAATATCAATCAGCCAAAGACACTCTTTTCAAATAAAAGTATAATGTCTAGTTTAATGCTAAAAATTTATCTCCTAAAATTTTTTATTTTTTTTCAAATGATTTCTAAGTCAACTTCCAAATTTATTATTTAAACCAATTATTTATTTATTTATTTTGTTTATGGATCATATTGAATCAATCGTCGGACCCCATCATTGAGCGTCTTACGAATTCAATATCAAATCCAGTTTAAATCTCAACATAACTAGTATATCGGAGAATAACCTAATTACTAAAATGTGATTGATTTGAATTAACATCAATACCTACTAGATGTGAGACATTTTAATTTTCAACTAACATTTCTCTCTCTCTCTCTCTCTATATATATATCCTTTTTATGTCTTTTTTTTTTTATCATTTTTCTTTTTCTTCTTTTTTTTAATTTTATTTTTAAAGTCGGTGGGGAATCGTCATTGGTTCTTAAAAATTTCAAGTTTTATTTTCTAAGCCAATTGATTTTTTTTTTGTTTATAATATTATATTGAATCGATCATTAGACCCAGCTGCTAGGAGTCTCATTAATTCAATATCGGATCCAATTTAAGTCTCGACATAACTAGTATATCGAATAATGACCTAATTAGTAAAATATGATTGGTTTGAATTAACATCAATTCATATTAGATAAGAGACTTGTTAATTTTCACCTAACATTTCTCTCTCTCTTTTTTTTTTTTGTCCTTTTCCTTTTTTTTTAATGTCTTTTTTAACTTTTTTTTTTTTTTTGTCTTTTGTTTTTATAATGTTGGTAGGAAATCATCATCGGCTCCTAAAAATTAGAAGACTCGACGATATGTCCGTACATTAATTACCTAATTTAATTAAATATTATTCAAGCCATATTTAATATTAAAATAAAATCCAAAAATTGAATTAATAATCCCTACACACTTATAGGAGTCTAAAATCTAACCACTAATTTCAAATTTAATTAATATGAAATATTAAACCGGACATGAAATTTAATTACCTAAAGAAATTAAGGACTAAGTATTAAACTAAATAAATAAAATAAATAGGAAAAAAGAGCCACAAAAATTATAAAAAAACAAAAATCTAGAATAGGCATGAACATAAGTGGCATATATTAAAATTTTGGAATTAATTTACCTAGGAAAATAGTTAACTCTAAATTGTAATTAAACGAGAAAAGGAAAAAACTTTTATTAGTTTGGAGACCAAAACATAAAATAAAAATTAAATTATTTTTAAATTAATTAATTTCACTTAATTTTATTGCTATTAGTGTAGACTCTATCATACAATCTTAATGGACAATGCTAGCGAGTACTTCGAGTTTTTTTTTTTCCACTAAGATGCTCTTATTTAATGATGTGAAGATTTATGTATCTCAATATTACTTATCTTGATAACTGATAATATTTAAGTTTAATGTAAAAAATTTCATATTAAATACAAATTATATTTTATAAAAAAATATTTATTATTATTATTATTATTATTATTATTATTTGCTAAGTCTAAATAATATAAAATATATATATATATATATTTGATGATCTAGTATGTCATGGTATGTGATTCATGTAATATTAAATTATTCTTAAATTAACTAGTTTCAATCTTAAATTAAATACTAATGAAATTTAGAATCGGGAGGCTTTTTGGTCATTTCATTTTTTTCGATGAAAATGTGTTAGTTTATGTGTTTGAAAATGTTTGAAAATGTCTTTTTCAGAACACACACACATAGTAAAAAAAAAAAAAAAATAGAGATTGGAGACCGATTTTTGTTTAATTAAAAATTCAAAATACTATATATAGAACCAATTAGCCTTGTGCAAAGCTCACTAAAATCAAAAGTAAAAAACCATTTGGGATGTAAATCAAAAGTATCTTGGATGGATTAAAGAGATTGAGCCATAAGGTTCATCAATGGCGACGATAGTGTCATCTGCCATTTTTCTTTGCACATTTTGAAAGTGCAATATGAGATAAATGAACATCATAAATAAAGAAAGAGACTTAGTTACTCGAATGATGCTTGAAAAAATAGAGTGAGTTAAAAAGACCAAGGTGTTGTGTTGTGTTGATTTCCTTTACCGTAGGTGATTGATGATGATGACTAGGAAATTGGGTTTGTGATTGATTGTGTAATCTAGTGATTATGTGTTGTAATGCTTAAGATGATTGTGGAATAATTGGACTTATAACTTAATGGGATAAAAACACCGGATTATTCATACCTTTGAAACCCATAAAAACAAGGAAAAAAACCCAAAAACCACTCAATTTTTACAATCTTCTCTCAAACCATGTAATGGGGCTCAATTTATAGCCTCATTGTATTGGATTTCCACCTTTGGATCATTTGCAAACAATGAAGACCCTTTTTTGGTAAAGCCAAATAGCATTTACGGTGTTCTTGGCTTTGTGTGCACAAAATGAATTTGAAATTGAAAATACGGTATGTGCGAGTCTATGGATTGTAATAGTGGCGCAATGATGCGGATGAGTGGAGCAAGGTGTGATTTTTGGTTGGTATGAACGTTAGCCGGGAATTTTGGCATTGATTGAGTTTGTCCTCTTTGGTAGAAGATGAACAATACAAGGAAGATTGATTTTGGATTGAATCACTCAATTTTTGGCCCTATCATTCACTTCCCAATTTCACTTTAGTCCTTAACTATTGCAATTCCTAGAAATTGTATCCCTAATTTCTAGTTCAATTGAACCTTTATTGACTTTCAATTACATCCCCATTTTCATTCAAGTACACGCCTATTATGTTCAATTTCGTCCCTAATTGACTTTCAATTTTGAATTTAGTATTTTTTTTTCAATTTTAGTCTTTGTCCCTTTCAATTATGCCTCTAATTAACTATTTTATTAAAAATCCTTTTATTATTATTTTTTATTTTTTCTTTTTATTCTTTTTTTTTGTAATAATAAATACAAAAATTAAACTAAAATTAGTTTTGATATTTTTTTATTCC